CTCGATTGTAGCTCGAGAAAGCGCTCAGCTGGAAAATGGGGATACAGATCAATCATAGCGAGACGCTCAATAAAATCTTGCAAAAATCCTTGATTTTCTACTGCTCTCACCATATCCGGTAATTACCAATTACCGGGTAGGTGAACTGAATCTTATAAGTGAATCTTTTGCGCTTCACGTTTCATAGTTAACTCGTTTTGCATAATTTGAGGCCGGTCATTTTACTGTTCCAATCAACATGACAACATCCCCATAGTAATCACTTATCGATCTGATTACTGTACCCGATGTGTTAAATATATCTGAAGTGTACGTAGTGTGTGACTGGTGGAGCAGTGGGAATTTCCAATCACAGGCACGCTTGCCATGCGTCCTTTCCTTCGATCTGAAAATCGCATGAGACTGGCGCCTACTTTGTGCTAATACCAAATTCCTCAAATACGTATCATACTACTACAACTTCTGACCTGTACTCTTATCCAATTGACTTGCCAGGTTACCTCTTACTTACATACTTCAGCTTAGACTGTTCTTTCAGACTGAACAAAATAGTAATGCACTACAAAACTATCGCCTTTACCAACAACTATATATCCTGATATTTATTGAAATATATTATAAATAATTTAGCACAATATGTACAAACACGTCACTCTCTTTCAATAGAGAAATCACAAGTCCGAAACAATACACAGCCTTTTGGGCCAATGGTCCAGGGCTCGGTGAAAGACGCTATCATGCTAAAAGCGTGATGAGCTCATCCGTTTGGAATAGATACTTATTCACGTCAATGTCATCTTGTAGCGTTGAATTGGACTCCGATTCGCCAGCGTCAGACGCATTAGATCCTGAAATGAACCCCACTTCAAAATCAGCTGATTTTGACCTCAAGAGGGCCTAACACATACCAATGTCAACAAAGTAGAGTTCGTCATCAATCGCTGGCATTTGCTCTTGTACGGGCGGCTTGATGAATTTCGAGGATTCATCTTGTCGGCAGGTTCCCTGGATTTTGGGATATACACTTGTACAAAACTGTTACAAAGTAAAAACAATAAATCAGGTCAAAAAACCAACTTTGTCATCCTTGTTGTTGAAATCCATATTCAGAGTGTAGCCGACCTTACATTGACATGTTACTGTTTTTTCACTACAGTAACTGTTCTCCACAACACATCTTAAAATGTGTTTTATATACGAAGGCGAATGAACAATAATGTAGCGATTTTTAGAGCGTATACTGATGGCGCTTTGGGTGCTGGGCTGTTATTGGCCAGCGCGAACAACGGACCAATCACAGGCACTTCCGGCACGCACCTCGTGTCTCTAATGTGTCATGTAATATATGCTGTAAAAAACCAACCGCTTTTCCTCAACTAATGTATCCAAGCAGTAACCACCGATTGTTCCGTTTGTCCTCTCATCTACGGAGTCCATGAAGATTACCGTCGTCGGGTCATAGCATCTATAGAAAAATTTTTTGTTTTCATGTAAGTAGTAGCAAAGCAGTAGCATCTACACAAACCTTCCAGCAATATTCGCAAAACCTTCCGGACAGCTAGCGACACACTTGCCACCATGTACCAGCGGTTTCGCTGCAGGACACACACAATAGCCGCTGTCGCATGTGGCATTCGGCTCTCTGGTAGAGCATTGTTCATCAGATAGGCAACCTTTTTGTCCAGCGAACAGAACTAAAACATCACTATTGGCATTCTGATCAATAACTCCCTGAGTTGTAAGCCTATAGAAGCGTGGACGGGCGCAGTTCGGCGACAGGGGGGGGCATTTTGCTTCGCACCGATCGACCCATCTAGATAGCCTTTTCCTAAGCTGACACGCTTACCATAGTAGATTAGGCGAGCTTGCTCTCCAGCTTCAAGAGAGTTCACGTAGTATCACCAGAGCGTTGAGACTTGTACAAGCCGTGAAAGTAGTGAAGCATAAAGTGGCAAAATGCCCCCCCCGCTCATTGCCTAGACTCCGCTCTGCGCGCAGTTGATTAGGCGCGGTCGTCACGGGCCGCGAGCGCGTGCCAGGACTATTTTGCTTTTTTGCCAGGCCTTAATTTAATTCATTTTGTCCACCTTGCGAGACATAAGGAGACTGCTAATCTCTTGAAAAAGACTTAGCCAAACAGTGAAAAGTTGGGAGAAAATGGACCAACACTTGCCTGGCAAAAGTTTAATAGTACGCTGCACGCGCTGGCGGCCCGTGTGACGGACCGCCCTTTAATCAAACCTGCCCGGTTATACGAGGGTATATTCTGCGCCTCGTGGACGTAGTGCAGTGACAACTGGCCTGCTTGAAAGTCACAAGGTCGGGGGTCTCCCGGATTCTCTCCCGCCCATTTCCCCCACGTCTTGTACTCCCGTGATGGTGAATTGGTACCAGATTTCTCTGGGAGAATAAAATACTGATTAGCACATCGGCTGGCCCCCACAAGGCATTGTCTAAGCCATTTCACGATTCTGAATGATGGTGGGATGTGTGCCGCACCCCAAAAATAAACGGCGAAAACCCTATCTTTTCTCATGAGGAGAGTATTTGAGGATTCACCTTTGAGGCACTTGTCTTCGATCAGGAAGAATCCAGGCGGGCATTCTATTGTCAGTGGTGGCCCAGTTGGCATGTCAGTAGAAGACGATTGCGTCGCCGACGATGCGGACGATTGTGACTCCGGTCGCTTCAAACTGGTCATTATTGAAGATGCCGAACAGCATTGGAAACGATTCTCCTGAAATTGATATTTTCTGAGATGCTCATCATTGAGAACAGACTCAAAAATCCTGGTTTTAGGAAAGATAAGGACACTGGTTCTGCTCAATGCTACTGTGGGATAACTTGTAGACAGCGAACAGAAACACGGCCACGAAACGCAGGCATCGTTTTGTGGTGAACAGGCGTTTTGTGGTGAAGAAAGCGACAA